CAATGTCACTAATGTTGCTCAAGGAAAAACAGGCAACATGAAACGACACATGGGTTGTACAACTACAGGGAAAGAAATTCTAAGAAATAAAAAAGAAATGCTAGAAATCAAAAGGCTAATAATATTGAATGAGGTGTGTCTCTGATGCTCTCATGAGTAGATTAGATGAGTCTGGAAAAGAAATGAGTGACAAGGAAAACATGTCAAGAGAAAACCTTCTCAAATTGAAAATAGCAAAAATCTTGGAGAGGAGAACATAACAGAACTACAGAAAGAATAATTTACTTACACAGAGAATACCAGAAGGAGAAGAACAAAGAAAAGGGTCACAGAATAATGAGGCAAGAATGACTGTGAATTTTCTAAAATAATGTCAGACATCAAACCAAGATAGGAAGCACTGAGAGCACCAAAGAGATCAAATGTCAAAAATCCACACCAAGGCTTATCATAGTCAATCTGTGCAAAATATGTTTTTATATTTGACAAACATACCAGAAAAAAGCCAGAGGACAAAAAAATACTTCAGAGAGGAAAAAACATAAAAATTACATGGGACTTCTGTTCTGAAACACAGACGTTATCCTTCCAGCTAAAGGATTCTGCCCTCTATTAGAATGGCTAAATCCCAAACACTAACAACACCAACTTCTGTGGAGGGCATGCAGCTACAGGAATGCTCCTTCACTGCTGGTGCGAATGCTTTGGGAGACCATGGGCACTTTCTTATAAATGAAGACATATATATATATTGGTACTAGGGATCAAACTCGGGACCTTGCATTTGCTAGGCAGGCAGTGGAACAACTGAGCTAAATCCCCAGCCCATGAAATGCATTCTTACCATAAGACCCTACAGTCATGCTCCTGGGATGTACCTAAATGAATATGACACTTACTGTTATGGTTTATACATAGATGTCCCCCCAAAGCCTCATGCACTCATAGACGGGGCTTTGGGAGGTGTCTGGATCATGGCAGCATGGTACTCATCAGTGGATTAATCTACTGATGGGTTTACAGCTAAATGTGATTGGGGAGGGAAAAAACCCTGTCGGAGGAAGCGGGTCACTGGCAGTGTGGCTTGGAAGGGTATAGAACCTTCCTCCACCCTTGATAACTATCTGCTTCTTGCTGCCATACCATGAGCTGTTTATCCTCTGTGATGCCCCTCTGCCATGTCACCCTTCCTTGGAGTCAGCTTACTACGGGCTGAAACCTCTGTAGACTGTGAACCAAAATAAACCTCTCTTCCTTAATCTATGGGTGCAGGTATTGAGACTCAGCAATGGGAAAGTAACTAAGACATTTATACCCACACAAAAACCTGTACATGAAAGTTGATAGCAGCTTTATTCGTAACTGCCTGAACTAGAAAGGATAAAGCAGTCCTTCACGAGGTAGATGGACAGATAAACAATGGACTATGATTCAGCACTAAAAAAGAAACGAGTTATTAAGCCAGGAGAAGACATGGAGAAACATTAAATCGCATTAGATGGAGCCGGTCTATATCATTCTATGACATGCCCTGGACACAGTAATGGGACCGATGATTGTTAGGTGTAGTAGAGAGGGAAAAACAGGCAAGATTGGAGGGAAGATGAGCCTCCTCACAAGGAAACTATTCTGTATACCACTATGATGGTGGATGTATGTCATTATCCATTTGTCAAAACACACAGAATGTACAAGACTAAGAGTACAACTGCATATAAAGTATGCACTTTCAGCGATTATGTAGGGTAACTGATAAATCTATTTCATAAAAACGTATAAGACATCAGATTTTCTCAGAAAAAAAATCAAGAAAATTTGCTGCCAGTAGATTTGTCTTGCAGCAAATGTTAAAATAAAGTCTTCAGAAAGAAGGAAAATTGCATAAGCTAAGCATACAGATCTACATAAAGAAGGAAAGACCATTAGAGAAGGACAAAGTGAAGGTAAGACCAAAAAAATAATTTTTCTTATTCATAATTGATCTAATCAAAACCAGACTGTCCAAAGTAAAAATGGCCACACTGTATTTGATAAGTGTACTTTTGGTTAAGAGTAATAAATGACAACACTGGTACGAGGTACAGGAGGGAAAACTTAGGAATGCCAGCAGCTAGCTGTATTACCTATACTATTGCATATTGTTATTTGAAAGTGGGCTTGGAATTGCTTAACTGTGTATTTCAAATTCTAGCACAGCTAGTCAAGTAACAAAGAATCATATTTCCCAACAAATGACAGTAAGTGAAATCATATAAAATGCTCAAGTAAACTATGTAGTAGAGGAAAATATGGAAGACAAAATAAAAAAGAACAAGCTGATGAAATAGTTACAAGTATGACAGCTATTAGCTCAAGAGTATGATAAGCACTTTAAAATCAACAGTATAAACAAACCAGGAAAACATAGAGACTGCCACAAGGGACTGAAAACGAAGAGCCAGTGATAATCTGTTTACAATGAAACTACACAGATGAAAGGGGTAGAGAAATATGTAGTACAAAGTGGGTGGGAGTAGCTATATTAATGTACACAGATTTTAGAGCAAGGAAAATATCAAAGTGAAGAGAGTCATCACATAAGGATAATGGGGTTTATTCTCTCAAGAAGTTTTCACTATCCTTAATATGTATATACCTAACAGATCATCACTGTACATCAAGCAAAAGCTGACAGAACTGGAATGAGAAATACAGCCATTTATACAATCCTTGAAGACGCTGCCCCTCAGTTAGGAATGAGCACATCCAGCAGGCAGGAAAGACAGAGCTGAATTCACCAGCATGATGGATCGACTGGATCTAATTGCCATTTATACACTATTTTATTCAACAAGGAAAGAATGCATATTCTTCCCCAATTTACAAGCAACATTTACCACAATTGAACATGGTCTAACACTGGGGTCATTAGACATGCTTTTCATGACTCTTTAACAACAGAAACTATATCATGCACACTCTAGAACTCAAATTGAATGAAGTTAAAAACCAAGAACATAAAGATAATGGGAAATTCCAAGTAAATTGCAGGTTACACAACATAATTCTAAATAATACATGGATCAAGAAGAAATCCCAAGTCACTTAAAAGTATCTTGAACTAACAGAAAGTGGAAAAATCAACTAAAAATTTGTGGTATGTGGCAAAATCAGTGCCTACAATGAACCTCACGGCCCTGAAGGAATATATTGGAAAGGAAGAGAGATATAAAACCAAAAATGCAAATGACAACCTCAGGAAGTTAGAAAGCAAGGAGCAAATTAAATACAAAGCAAACACAGGAAAAGTAATAATAAAATCAGAACATAAATTAGGGAAGTTGCAAGAGAATATCAAAAGGTAAATTAATGAAACCACAATCACATTCTTTAAAAAGTCAACAAATTGAGAAGCATCTAACCAAAAATCAAAGTGTTGCTATAACTAATACCATGAGATGAAAAGGTAACATAGGAACATAATTCCAAGCCTATCACTTTCAAAACATGCCTGAAAGTGATTAATATTCTGAAATACCAAAACTCACACAGAAGACACTGGAGGGCACAGGGGCAACCATGCATCATCAGAGGCTTAGGGGAAACTCCAGGAAACAATGGTCGGATTCAGACTTCATTCTGAAGTTGGCCACCCTACACGATCCCAGGTCAAGTGAGTCTGAGATGGGGGCACAGAGCATGAGTTTGGAAGCTGTTCAAGTGCTCCATAACTCAGGTAGGGGAGGTGCTGTCGGATAGTTGGTGAGAATAGGCTAAGAGGAAAGCAGTGCCCCCAAGGAACTCAGAAGTTAAGGACCAGGGTACAGCCTTCTTGCAAGGAGGCAATCAACAAGGTTGGTTGCTAGCAGGTAGGCAGAAAATTACATGGCTAAGTACCTGTGCTCACTGCGGCGGGGGGGGACACCCAGTGACTGTTAATATCCCTTCAGTTTGTTTCTTTCAGATCAGGCCCTCCAGCAGAGACCACAGAAAACAGGCTTAAACCGGCCAAAGCCATCTAGCCCTCTCCTAAGTGACCTCGACTAAACTTTATCACTATAATGTCCTCGTAATGCTAAATGTTTCACCCCACATGTGTTCCACCCACCACCTGTAAACATGAAATGTATGAGGAAGTATGACCTCCAACTGCACATCCCTCTACATGCCGTAGCCAAGTCTCTCCAATGTGAGTATACACAGGTGGACCCAACACGCTTCCCTTCTTTCCTTAGTTTGGGGGCATACTACTTAGGCAGGTATCCCAGGTGCTCCCCTTGCTTGCTGCAAAATAAACCTTTCTCCATTTTTTTTCAATTTGTAAGTGCTTGTCTTTGCGAATACCAAAGGGTAAACCAATTGTGCTCAAAGTTTCTTTACAAAATTGGAAAAATAACAAAGGGATCCACAGGCCAGGTGAGCCAATGAGGGTTTACCAGGAGTAGCCAGACTCATCCAGAAAACCAACAGCCCTCTGATCCTCTTGGTCAGACGAGGAAAGGGAGCTTGGAGGAGGGCACCTGGAACGTAGGGGGGTAGCTGGCGGCTTGGAGGTCCAGGCCACTCCTAGCAGGAGGTCTCAGCTCACATCCATCTAGTTGTTAATCACTCAGGCTGGCTGTTTGCCTACTGTCCCCAAGATCAAAGTACTCCAGGAGCCACAGGACCAAGGATGAGGGTGCGCTCCCCACACTTTCTGGGGCCTTGGAGCTGGCTGTCCTGAAGGGGCAGATCCCATCTTAGGCACCTGGTAGATCAACCTTCACTGCCTGGCCAAAAAAGCCTGGAACAAGGAAGGTGACAGGCCTGGTGCCCCCTCCCCTGTGCTCGCCGCTTGAGCCCCCTCAGTACACTCACATCCCTTCAGACCCTGACCATGACGGCGGACCCCTACCTCCCCGCGGCAGCTGCGCACTGGGAGGAGGATCTGAGACTCCAGGCGCCCCCTCCCCAGCGTGGGTAGGTCCTACGACCCCACCTCAGGGCCCGGGGCCTCCTGCGCCAGAGCCTTTGCTCCCCACCTGAGTCTCTGCCACGAAGGGGGCGGCCCCGCAGTCTCTGGGCGCTGTCAGAGAGGAGGGAGCGGCTCTCTCCAAGGTCCGCAGCACCCGTGCCACGACCAGCGGACTTCGCCTTGCTGCTCTACGCAGACACACTCCAGGGGCCAGGCAATGCCAAGCCTGAGCAGTCGGCGGCTGCTTCTTGTCTCCGCCCGCGCTCTACGTTGGCCATGGTGCGTCAGTGCGCCCCTGCGTCAGTGATGGGAGGGCATCGCGCCCACCGGGGTGGGGGTGGGGTCCTTGGGAACATGAGAAGGGGCGTGGCCGGACGAGGGCTCCGTCCCACGTGACCGCCCCCAGAAAGTGCACCTCCTCCCAGCATTCATCTTTTATCTAAGTAAAGCCATTCTAATATGAGCGATGTTTTATCTCTAATAATGCTCAGCATTTTTTCACATGCTTGTTAGTCAATTGTGTGACTTCTTTGAGAAATATCTACTCAGATCCTTTGCCTATTTTTGAAGCAGGTTCTCCCCTTTTGCATTTTTGCCTTATATATTTTAACAATTGTATAGTTTGGACATGTGCTCTCTCATTCTGGGGTCTGTCTTGTCATTCTTTTGATTGATTCCTTATCTGTGAGGAAGACTTTTAGTTTTGTATAATCCCGTTTGTCTATTTTTTATTGTCTCTCCTAATGGGTACATATCCAAAAAATAAAAAATAAATCATTCCCAATAACAATAGCATGGAGATTTCCCTTTGGGAGGAAAAGCTATAGTTTTAGTCTTACGTTTATGTCTTTAGTCTCTTTTGAGTTGATTTTGTATGTAGTATGATGAGTAATTTCATCCTCTGCATGTGGATATCAACTCTCTCCAATATCATTTATTGAAGAGACTGTCCTTTGTCCATTATGTTGTTGGCACTTCTGTCAAAAAATCAAGTGACTTTAAAGAAATCAAGTGACTTTAAATATTTGTATTTGGTTTCTGGGCCTTCTATTTTGTTCTGTTGATCTATATGTCAGCTTTCATACTAGCACTGTGCTGTTTTGATTATTACAGCTTGGTCGTATAGTTTGAAGTCAATATTATGTCTCCACATTTTTCTTCTTGCTTAAAATCATTTGAACTATGCAGGATATCTTGTACCATTCAAATTGTAGAAGTGTCTTAAAATTTCTGTGAAGAACGTCACTGGAATTTTGAGTTCCTTCATCAACCTGTACAAGTAGAGAACTGATTTACACATGGGATGCCATACTATCCCCACATCCTGAGACTGAAAAACGTCTGGAGCTCTGGACTTCATGATTAGCAGCATCAGGAGGATTAGGGCCAAGACACCAATGTGCATGTCAGTGGGCTTGGGCTTGTGTTCTCAAAAAGCATGATATCATAAAAGAATAGGCTGTGTTGCTTGAGATCTTGATGCCAACTTGAAATAAAACATTTCTTGTGTCAATAATGCTATATAGTTTGTTTTTTTTTTAGATCTTGTAAGGAAAAGACATGCAAAGTAAATATGTGAGGAGAAAAAGAATGAAAGGTTTTTATCACAAATTTTAACCCTTTCATCAATCTCAGACTTTATTATCATAATTAAAGTAGTGGATCAGCCTGACACAATAGTGCACACCTATAATCCTAGCTAGTCCAGAGGCTAAGGCAAGAGGAGTTCAAACTTGACCCCAGCCTGGGAAAATCAGTGAAATAAAAATAAATTTTAAATAAATTAAAATTTAAAAATTTATGGGCTGGAGATGTCACTCAACAGTACAGCACCCTGGGTTAAATCCCAATTAACACACACACAAATAAGGATCAATTGCACCCCTTCAGTACTTCAATTCTCCCCTTCAGTACTCAATACCTCACACCTCAAGTAGGCACTGAACTCCTGCTCAACCACTTCCCAGTCACAGCCAGGTCACCTATGTCATTGCTGAACTTCCATAGTACATAAGCTTTCATGTATGTTATAAATGTTTCATAGTAGAGGAAATAGTGCCCAATTTTACTTTATTTTTTTAGTATTTTGGGAGCAAAGGTGGTATCTTAATTAGATTTGATCTGCATGGTCTTTATTACATGTTGGGCAGATGGGACAGTTCCATGAGTTTGGTGAGTTTGAAGGAGGAAGATTATCTTAGAGTAAAAAATAAGACCCTCACAAGCAAAGAAACTCAATGGATTACTTGTGCACAGAGTTATTTTAGTTAAGTGCTATCTTTATTCTTTTACATTTACTGTTAAAACACATATTTTAATATATGAACAGAGCAAAGGTTACTAAGTGCAGACTCTGAATTAAGACTACATAAATTGACATCTGTGATCTGCTATTCACTATGAGTGTGACCTTGATTGGTACATAAGGCTAAGTTCTGTCCTAATGTACATTAAATGTGGCTGTTTGTATTACTTAGATTCTGGAGATATTATATGGGAAACAAGATGAAGTATATATGCCAAGTATGGAAATGTTCTTGACACATGATTATCTCTACAGATATATTGGCTATTGTTTGTGTCATGCAGTTCCTCATACATGGATAGATTACTGAAATTCTTTCAATAGTTGATTAGCTCTTCCCTGGCTAATAAGCAAGGGATAAAATATTGCCAAAGTGGTAGAACATTTTATCAATCTCTATTCCATGAACTTTGATGGAGTTTATATATTTTCTCTGAATTGACTGGGATAGCTATGAATGTCACACGTTTTTACCTTCATGCCAGAATAGCTAGATTATAGGAGAACAGTCCAGTCATTGAACATTAGTGAGCATATTCATTTTTTTTTTCTTCAGGAATGAAGAAACAAGGTTTTATGTAATTCCACAATTAAAGTAGAATCAGGGTCATCTTATTTTAAGGTTTTAATTAAAGAACAAGTATCCACACCAATCTTGAAAGATGAGTTCCAACAGAATCCAAATGTTCTTCTCTCCTTCAATAAACGATATTTCTCCAGAGTTAAGACATCCACAAATAAAAATGATGCTAAAAAATTGGTCACAACTTACTATTATAGAAGATACATATATGCTTTAATGCACACTTCATAAATAGGAAGTACTTAAAGCGATATTTCTAGTCAGATATTTTAAAAGAATTATCACCTGAAAAATCAAGGGCATATGGTTAGATTATTTCTTGGATTTTTAGAACATGTAGACATATAATGTATGATAATACAGGGAAGCAGAAATGTTGAATATTTATGAACACGAGGTACCATTTAAGAATTCAGAGCTGAGGCAGATAATCGGTTAAAAGACTGGACAATGTGGATTTTTTTAAGAAATGATAATTCTATAACAGCATTAGAAAAAGTTAATCTTTTCAGAACTGTAATGATGCGGTAGTGAAGAGACACAGTTTTCTTCCTTCACATGCTCAGCATATTTGGGTTTGTTCCCAAGGCATGTCTAGGTATACAAAGTAAGATACTAATCAAAAGTGCACTCACCTCCAAGTTTTATGGGTCACACATGATATTTTGGACACAACCCTGTATGTTATTCTGAGTGTCTGTGGACTCACAGTAGCATACAGCTCCTTTTATATGTTTATTTCATGTAAGAAAATATATATTACCAAGACCTATCATGTAAAGGTCCAAGATCCCAATAATGAATGTAACTGTACTGTATACCTAAAATGTACCAATAAACTCAATTTTAAAAAAAGAAAATATATATTGAAAAAGTTAAAGGAACAATTTTATATAGATACATATGAGCATATATTAAATAACAATTATTCTATAATTACCTTCTCTCATGTAATTTCTATGAAATACAGGCTTTGCTTTATTTAAAGTTAATTGATTTTAAGCTTCATTCTTATACATACTTGAGCTTTGTACATTTTTACATACTTCACATAGCAATATAAGACTGTTCAAGTCATATATTTTAATCATCTTCAAAGCAAAGGTGTTGAGACTTTTTAATGTTACTGAGGAAATTGTAATCTGACAAGAGTAAATAATTTAGGAAGAGTGAGAGTGTACAGATGCCAGGAGCTTACAGTAATATTCAGATAATCATATCTACAGTGGATTATTGCTTTAAAACCCCTGGAAAACCTTATTATTCTGAAAATAAAATTCCCCAGTAGGAACAAGGAAACTATATTTTCTAGGATGTACATCCAGGAAATAACATGATTTCATATAATCACAAACAACAAATTATCTTTTCCTCGTATAGTGCCAAGAGAGACCACTGAAAACTTTTCTCTAGTCATCAACTGTGTGAAAATTTTGAATCACACACAAATGTATCAGTGAAACATACACCTCAAATATATATGTGTGAAATTTAGTTGTATATTTTATACTATATTGTAGGGATACACACACACACACACACACACACACACATATATATATATATATATATACATATATATATATATAATTACTCTGTGTGATACATCATTTTTATGAGAAGCATTCTGGTGAATATTATCCTTTATAAATAAAAGCTGAAACATTCTCTAAGGTCTCTTGGAGCCAAGAAAGGGAAATTATCATCACCTTCATCTATATTTTTAATATTTAATATAGTTGCAACCTATTCTCATTTGAAGTTTCCTAACTGGTAGAGAAAATGTTTCAGAGCAGATACCATTAACTTATAATTTGTCAAAGTAAAACATGCACAAGATAGGTTTTGTGAGAAAATAGCAATAGACACTAAGAGAAAAGCAAGAGTTCACAGCACTTTTTAGATAATTCAATAGACTCAGTAATCTATATTGCATCTAATTAGATGTATGAATATTTATTACCATAAACTATCATGTAATTGATCAATTCTATTCTTTATGCAGAAAAGTATTGAAAGCACGAAATCATCTGTCATTAGGACACAATGCTCACAGTAGAGTGATTTACAATAGCCAAAGTTGGAATCTACCCAATGTTAGAAACCATACGAAGGTGTAAACAAAATGTGGCCTATGCATACAGTAGAATATTATTTAGCCGTAAAGAGCAAAGAAGTTCTGATACATAGTTCAGCACAGATGAGCCTTAAACATATTATACTCAGTGAAGTAAGTCAGTCACGAGAGAACAAATATTACACGGATCTGCTATGGGAAGAGAGAAAAGAGAACAGTAGCTGCCAGGGGCTAGGGAAGAGGGTCTAAAGAAAGTTATGGAGGTGAATGGTTCTTATGGCTGAACAACACTGGAGATGTACTTGATGCCATTAAACTACAAACTTTAAAAGACTCACTCC